GCAAGCTTAGAGTGCTTAGAGGTTGACGCTGTCTACCCTGAACGTGAGTCTTCCCTGTGTGCCCTGCAGGCAACGGGTGATGGGCACGGGACAGCAGGACAGCATCCGCTGATTGAAATCGTCTGCGCCAAAACGTCGAGGTCACACTGATCTGTGCCTGCTCTTGCACGTCTACTGGTCACTGACAGCTCAGAATGCCTATGGAAAGGGAACAGAAGGCACAGGCTTTTCCCAGTTGCGACACTTAATCGGCCTAGCGTGGAGACTGTGCGAAGGCAAGTCTCGGGATCTACGAACGAGCGTTGAAACAGCTGTGGAAGGAAGAGCCGGAAGCGCAAGATGTGGAGGCTTAAGGCTTGAGGCTGTGCTATGATGGCTGTGCTACACTGGTCATGAGCAAAATGCTTCCGAGCATGCTCCGACAGCTTGGGAATTCTTTAGGCAGCCGCATGATGTCACAATCCCGGATATTCAGCCGCTTCCGAGCCCTCGCCCGGCTTCATCTAACCTAACTAGTGCGTGCTATGTTGATAGTGCACCGAAGGTGCAAAACGGCATGGCCTAACACCAAACATCAGGAGAGTGACATCACTTTGCACCTTGTTAGAAATCTGGTTACAGCCGCACTATGCCGCACTCATGTCAGTCCAATCGATAAGGGGATCTACAAGACAAGGAGTATAAGAAAGACTGCGTCTTCTCGGTCAAAGAGGCCGATCTGACAATTAACTCAGTGCCTCTGACGAGCACTTAGAAATCCAAGTGGCCCGCAGCAAAAGGCACAAGCCTCGGCAAGACAGGAACACACAACAACAAGTGACGAAGCCAGCATCGCAGAACCAAGACTGCCACACAGTTGGGTACGTGATCGGTACGTGTCTTTACCACCGCCCACCACCACCCCCACCACCAGCACCAGCACCACCAGCACCACCAGCACCAGCACCAGCACCAGCACCAGCACCAGCACCAGCACCAGCACCAGCACCAGCACCACCGACAGGCAAGATGCCTTGTTGTGGTTGGTGTTCGGTCAAGTACGAGGTCTTGTTCCGTTTCCCTTGTTTTCCACAGTTCCACACAAGCCACGGGATGTGCATGCAGAGCTGGATGCTGCTGTTTCAGCCTCCGTGTTCCTTGAGATGCAGCGCAGCACTGGGGGGGATAAAGGAGACGACGACTACTCCTACTACTACTCCTACGGCCGGCTACGGCTACGATGACACCAATGGCATGGGACCGGGACGACGACCAAGACGCGCATAGACAAAAGCAACATCTGGCAGGGAGATGGAGAAAGATCAACTACGACAGTGGCGCACAACAGCACGACAGTGACCTGTAACGCATGGTCATGCCAACATACACTTACACTTTCCGCAGCTGCATGCAAAGGAACTAGTAACTAGTCCACGAATCTCATTTACAGCTCCACACACGCACAGACCCCAATCCCTCTCCTGACACGACTGGTGCATCCCAATTGCCAGGCTTACAGTTCTACACACGCAGCATCCGCGGACCCCCTTAGCACCAAGCACTTCAAACGGCTCTGGGTGGGGGCAAGCCCCCTGAGATGGTGCTCAGACCACTTGCAGCCTTCCGCTCGAAGCAGCACCAGAAGACGAGACACGACTGCGAGATCGGCTCAGGGCTCGAGGCCTTCGGCTGGGAGTGTCCCTCGTCCACGATGCACAACCTGAGAATTAATAGCACCTTGCGGCTGTGCTCTGAGACCCTCCTGAGGCCCTGGCTACCAAAAATCACGCCTGAGGCCTGCCAGTTCAAAGCATCGTGGTCCGTGGTCCTGCTTCTAAGTCAAAGGCTGAGCCTCGATGCCGCAAGGCCTCACCAAATACCGCTACTTGCTGTTTTGATGAAGTTCCCGGAGCGCTTCTGAGCGCCCTGCTCCGGGCCATGTCCCGGAAGCGGCGGCAGGCTGCGTGGGTCATGCCCAGCCTTCCCAGAACATCGGCTCATCCACAGCTTTTGGCCCCACAAGCTCGGAGCTTCGACCGTTCCGTCCTGGTGTTGACTCCATCGAAGAGGATAGCGACCTGACCCCAGACACCAGACCAACTTGCTTCCGTTTGCGAACTCTCCCCAATTGTGCGTTGCCTCTGGTTCATTGGCATATGGGGCACAGTGCATGATCATTGATTGAACACCTTCAGCGGGAACAGTGGCAAGCATCCTGCCGCGCTCCAAACGGGTGCACGGGCCTTCTCGGGTTGCTTCAAAGCCAAACCTTCCGGATCGGCCAGTTTTCGTTGCGCGGTTGCATGCTACTGGAACTGGACTGCATGCCTTGGCAGGATCAGCCGCTGGACAGTTAAGGCCAGCTGGGCCCGACCTCTGCAACGATGCATCCCCGATGGTCAGTGCTAAAAGCCCCAATGCCTGCCAGGTGGTAGAAGCCTTCTTCAGAGTCGGCAGCCTGGCACAGAGGCCCACGTTGGAGGCTCCCTCAGCTCCTGGAGCCCGGCCCAAGTCCCGTCCGGGCTTTCAGCTTGAGCGCCCTGATGGACTTCTGGAAAGCAGGGTGGCTGAATGCAACGAGCTGGGCGCGAAGTAGCTGGATGACCTGAAGCTGTATGCAACCAGAGGTCTAACTTCTTCCGGGCATCTCCTTCTTGAGCTCTCTGCGAAGTCTTTGCAGTCCACGGAGAGGACTTAGCACAAATCAAAGAGGGCTTTCTACTCCTGAAACCATGCAAACGTGGACAACAGTGACACTCTGATTGCTGGCCTTGTCGCGAGAAGCTGTCGGAGAGGCGAGGACTGCAACCAATCATTGCAACATGGGATGTGCCAAGAGGAAGAAAGTACGGGCGGCCAAAGTGCGAAGATGCCGGACCATACCAGCAAAAACAAAAAACACTGCAGCACCGACCACAAAGGCTGTGACATGTGCCCCATGTTCAGATGTCGTTTGAGGCATTAGAGGTAGCTAGCCGGTTGGCTGTGGCAACGAAAGAAGCAAGGCGATGTCGCCACACTAGTCCGGTAATCGTTTTTGAAGACCTGCACCGATATTCGCAAGGATGAAAGGATGATGCGGTCGGGCCTGGATGGCTTGGTCTGGCCGAGTGCTTCCTTGATTGCAATCGAGTTGACGTAGATGTCGGGATCCTGGATGTTGTGCTCTGAATCTGCCATGGCACGAAATAGGTCTGGTGTCAGTACGGGCTCAACTTGCAATGCCGTCCTCTTTAAATGCCTCGAAAGCTGCAAGCATCTGCTCGACCTGTGCAGATTACAAGCAGTGCCCTTGGCTCAAGAGGAAACGTTGGCACTGCAACGTCTGTGGCCATGGCTCCGGATTCATTGGCATCGAAGCCATACCTGCCGGCTCTCCGGATCATGAAATCTCCCAGCACGACCAAAGAAAGCTAAAGTCAAATGTCTGCCCACAGAAGCAGCCCGCAGTTCCTGGAAGCGATGAAGCCGGCCTGGGAATAACCTGGCTCTGCTCCTTTCGGACCAGCTTCCGGAATGCCTTTGCAACAGGACCCCTTTTTGAACCCTAAACCCTAAACCCACCTTTGGTGGGGCCGTCGTAGCAGGACGTAACGGGACGCACGAGACGCGGCTTCGCGCACAGGCGGTGCCCAAGCCGCAGGCCGCACGATAGGATGGATCCTTGTCCTGTCACGAGACACTTGGGCACTTGCCTCGTGGCAGTGCTTATGTAGGATGCTCGAAACGCTTGAGGCCGCTACGCCCGAAGATTCCTGAGAGCCGTATAGGAAATCGAAAGTTTCTGACCGAAAGCCGAACGGGCCGAGCTGAGGTTTCTGGCTCTTTCCAGCTCGTGGAGCTTCTTCTGAAAGCGTGCGGCCTGAGCGATGATCCCATGGCTGTTTGTGAATGACAGGAAGCTCAGCTCGCAGCAGTGAAGGCTGCCAACAGCTCAGACCTGAGCAATCCTACTTCCAACACAGCTTGGGGCACCTTCCATGCAAGCTTTTGAAACCTACAATAGACTCAGCTGGACTTGTCTGAGTCCTGGGCTGAAGAGCCAGGGCCTTTGCTCCAAACATCTGCTGGCTGTCAGCTTGCTGCCAGGCATGGTGCGCATCTCTCTTTTGATTCTGAGTTTGGCGCCCGTGCTTTCGTCAGGGAGGGTGTGGGAACGGTAACCTCGACAAGATTCAAGCCACAAGGTTTGGTGACGATGCTTCGCTGATGCTTAAGCAGCACTCCTCACGGGAACAGCTGGACCTCCAAGACTCTAAGGGTGTCTTGGGACACCACCGCCGGCTTGCTTTGCTCTGCACCTTTCAGTGGTAAGGGAACTGCATCTCCCTCCAGCCTACTCGAGCACTGCTCTGGAAAAGGCTTGGACCGACTGTTGGCAACTCCTGACATGCGTATGAGGTGGTGCGTGAAGATTGGAAGCTGAAACATCGGGGGAGTGATCCATCCGCCCTGCCTTTGGTGTTTCCGACACCTTCTTGCTGGGCCTTATCATGCTCGCAGGTTGCTAACGAGCGCACTCGGCAGCAACTGCAGGCATCAAATCTGTGGGCCATCTTTTGCTCGTGGCTTGGCTCTCTGGTCAATCTGGCCGTCCTGTAATGCTTTCCTCGGCACAAGGTCGAAGCAACGAGCGGCAAACTCCCATGAAGGTGACCTTGCCGGACGAGGCTCTTAAGCTTGGACCGCTGGATCTTGCCACTGGTAGTCTTCGGAAAGTCTTCGGCAGCAAGAGGCACAACATGACCTCACAGGGAGTGTCAGAAAACGACGGAACCAAACATGCTGAAGCGGCTGAAGCTTATAACCCCCAGTTCCCACAACATTTCTGAATTTTGCTAGCAGGCACGCGGCTTTGACTCTGCGCCGATGTTTCGAAGCTGACAGCTTAGGGCCGAGCTAGGAGTCAATCCGACGTGTCGGACGAGCTTTGCTCGAATCTTCTTTATCACCTGAAAAGGGGCTTGGCCTTTTTGAAGGCTTCAGACTGTTTGGACCTCATGCTCGCTCCAGGCACGGCTTCAGCAATGACTGGTCCAACTATCTTGTTTCGACTTTTGGGGCATCAGATGTGGCAGGGTCACAACACCACGGGACGCCTCCTCCACATCATCTTCGTCCAGGGAAGGCCGCGGTACAAAGAAAACTGCGAGCCCTGTTCACCAAATGGCAGGCAATGTGCGAACCATGGACGGCATAGACTTCCTACTTATGTCATGTGCATCAGGACCCGTCTCAGTCTACGCTGCGTGCTGCCACCATAGCCTTCGGTCCCTGACAGTGGATCATGGGTGGAAACTGCGGCCGTGAAAGTGGGCAGCACATGCTCCATCGCGTTCACGACGTCCTCCACCTACAGGGCAGCGTGTACTATGACGACACCTTGTTCGTTGCGCCAGCAGAACGCCTCGTAGCAGTAGAAGTTCGCACCACGCACTATGATCATTTCCTTTTCTCTGCCTTATCGTGTCTGGTGCAGGATGTGTGTTCGAGGGTAGCGGAAGCAGGCACACGACATGAACGCTGCTCTGCGTCCAACTGCTATGGTACCAATTCATGCAGCAATGGGACCAGTCAAATAGAGCTGCCCTTCCTTGATGAATCCGATATCGCCAGTGTTGAACCAGTCACCTCCCACAAAGGCCTCTTTGTTGGCCTCTTCGTTGTTCAAATACCCAGGTGTGATCACAGGACCTCAGAGCGGACCCAAGAATAGATAGCACAGTAGACCGCAATTCACACTGTAAGTTGTGCAGACCCCTCCTCGGATTTGAAAGCGGCCGATCTCTTCTTCAGGGAGGGTTTCGCCATTATCGTCGGCGATGCGGATCTCGATGCCCGGGACAGGTGGGCCGAGGTTCACGAACGTTGGCCGGCCCAAACGACTGGCGCCACACACCTACGGGTAGCCGCAGCCCGGTGCCCGTGGAACAGCAACATGAGCAGGCAAAGATTGGGAGCCTCGAAGCGGTTGTTGTACGTCATGCAGGTGCAGGCCTCCAAGCGGCCACGCGAAGGTTCTTTGTGAAACGGGAGCACACAGATTGCCCAGGCAAGGGCAGCCTCAGCCATTCCAAAGGAGGGCTGCATCGCTGCGCGGCGCACACCGAAGCGCTGGGTCTGCTCTAGGAAATCCTCGCACACTGGAATCGTCACCTGCCTCAGTCAGGAATCCATGGTGGCTCATTCCACCTCCCCGGCGGAGTAGGGCACGGGCTCCCCAGCATTCATCCAATACCGACAGCAGGAAAGGTCCATCTCAGCTTCCTTTTCCTGCCGCAGAGCATCTGCCACCAGCTTGAACCTGAGCTCAGGAAACTCGTGGCATTTTCTTCGGACTCCCGTGGCCTGATGCCTCGGAACATGTTTGCTTGCTCGCAGCATCTCGCAGACCGATGTAAGGCACTGGCTCCCTTCTTCCGAGCTATGGCAAGCACATGCAGTGGGCTGGGGTGGGGACGAAGGCTGATTGCAGCCGTTGTGCGGGTGGGTGTTACGCATGGGTCCAGACAAGTGGCGCAAAGTTCGGTGCCCATGTCCGAGTGGCCCGGTGTGTTTGGACGAGCTGCAGCCATCGGAGCGGCTGAGAAACGACCCAGGAAACCTCCAGGCCCACGTGGTGGGGTGCTTGCCAAACGGAGTTGTCTGTGCTGCCGGCCTTACCTCCGCCTGCACCTCCCAGCAGCCATGATAAACGTCACAGCAATGGACCTTATCTTCCGGCCCACAGCTGCCAGCTATGAACCTGTGAAGCTGCCGCTCAGCAACTGTGAGGATTGGCACTACGTGGTCCAAGGGCAGGAAATTCACGTGAATGTCGTCGGGCCCGTAACCGCAGAATTGGGCTTCTGCTTGGACATGAGCCACAACACCTGACAGGCTGCCAGTCTGTTCCCGTGACAGAATCTCAATCAGAATGCATGTCATACTGTGGCCTCGGTGGGCAATCTGGATGCACTTTGGCACTCCAGTGGATCCACTGCTGAGCCTCCGTTTCTGCCACATCAGACAGCTGAGCTTCCTCCCCCGGTTTTTGCTACGAGGCACTGATAGAAAGCCACATCTCCAGGTGAGGGCGACCAGGATGCAGCTGCTGCTCCCCTTGCGGCGGCAAGCACAGATGGCGACTTTCGCCTGACACTAAGGATGGGGCGGCTCAGCTTTCTGGACCAGCCTCAGAGCTAGAGCTGGTAGAGAGGTTTCTCGGAGACTTTCGTCGGCGATCTCATTCTGTTGGTCATGCTGATGCTTCAGAAAAGCGACGTTTCCACGGTCAGGAGCGGCACCTCCGTGACTGCCACGTCGGGTGTGGACAGATCCAGTTGTTGCAGCTTCTCCACATGAGATTCCATTGTTATGATAGGTGGTCGATCCTGCATAGGAAAGAATCTTGATCCAACTGTTGCCGCCCAGACAAGGTTCGCACAACCCAAACAATGCTCGCAAAGAACTATGCGTGCAATGAACTTCAACCCGAATCCAACGTCGTCCAGCAGATGCCACACGTTCCGAATCTTGCTGCATACAGCATGGGCACCGTCCGTGTAGTCCTGAGACAGAGCCATCCTTTCCTGTCACAACTCCAACGACCCATGAAAAAAGACTTTTCAGAGGCCAAGCATCAGGCGGAATTGCAACTGTCACTGGGCAAGTGCCCGAGAAGAGGCCCCCCCAGAAGCATGCGAAATGCTCAGGCATGCGGGGCACCTCAGGCTTTCGGAACGGCCACGATCCGATCCAGAAGGACATCCAAGCTCTTCTGGCCTGCAAGACCGCCGCTTCGCGATGCTCTGCTGGTGAGCTGGCCATGCTCGCCTTCCCAATCCTGAGGCTTGGGAGAACGGGGAATCGCAGAGATCCTGAAACACGTCTTGGTGCTCCTTTTGCTGAACCCTGCCGTCCTGAACCGAACCAGGCCCGCGGCGACCAAGCGCGCACGCTTCAGCAGATTGGCGAACGTCAGCTCCTCCGTTTTCCCGGCCGTGTCGTACAAGATCAGGCCCTTCTGCCCCCGCTTGGCAGCCGTCCTCACCAAGTCTTCGTCATGTCATCAAATTATGGTTGTGCTTCATCATGCTTCTTCGCTGTCCAATGCTAGCTTTGCCAATAAGGTCCTCTCCAAGGCTTCTGTTAAAGTCTTTGGTGCATCCACTGGGATGATCAAGGCGCCTCCAGAGTGCTCCGAGGCTTTTTGTTTCCGAGGCTTTTTGTTTCTTCCCCTCCGCCTCCAGAGCTGAGAGCCGGCTTTCGTGTCGCTTGCGGCTTCGGGGCTTCGAGCGCAGTTTTGAGCCGAGTGGAGGAGGAGGCCAGAGGAACCAGGCCCTCGGCTTCCGCGAAGCTCTCTTGGGAGAAGGCCTCGCGTTGCACCTGGGCACCAGGCCACGGCGTGCTTTTGCTGAAGCTCAGCTTCTTGTTCGGCCGCTCTTTCCTTCCGGCAGGCCTTTGGATTTGCAAGGAGGGCTGGCTGGCTGAAGAGCAGCACGCAGTACTCGGAGTCGAGCGCTGCCGATGGCTGGACTCCCTCGGGTAAAAGCTGATAGGAAGCAAGCTCCTGAAGCGCGGGTCGGGTTCGGGACGCAATTGCAGGTCGAACCGATGTCAGACCGGAGTGTCCTTGCCATGCTCCACAGCCCACCAATTGCCCGCCAAGCCAAATCGAGGAAGACCGTCCTTGCAGCGGTCAGCTCAAGGAGTTACCGGCTCAGCAAAGGCGAAGCTGCCACCCTGTCCTTGATGCTCTGGGCACCGGGGATGTCGATCACCAGCCAGGCCAACCAGGATTCGAGGAGGACAACGAGACAGAAAAGATCCTGCCCCAGAGTCTCACGTTGACCATGAAGCCGCTGCGCTGACGAGCTTGGGTCTGGGTTGGCTACGCTCCTCGGGACCCCCACTGGGCTGCCAGGTTACCAGGGGCTGCTTCACCAGCCTTCGAGCTTGAATTGTCTTTTTTTTCTTGTGAGTGCAACTGCAAACGCTCAACAACGAAGGCGAAGGCCCCGGCGCCTCCTCAGATTCTGCGAGCGAAAGTTGTTAACAAAAAAGACATTCGAAGTTACTGCTCCAATTCTCCAAGGCTCGGGTGGACAACTGTCCTGGGGATGCAAGTCTCCGATAGATGGTGATGTCACCACCAGGTGTGCCTTTCGGAGGCCCGGGTGTCGTGGACGTGAACTGCTTGCGGAAAGATTGCGGCCTCTGTCGCAGGTTGGGCCATGGCATCTTGCGCTGCTGGCTTCTTACTCGCTACCGGCTACGAGTAGCTAGGAGGCGCTGACCTACGAAGCATAAATCAGCTCGCGAGTTTTTCTGCGACGTCTCAGGAGTCCTGCGTGCCGGCTGCTGGGGCCTACGATGACGGTGTGGGAATGCATTGTAGCATGTTGTGTGCTTTGCTACAAGCCGAGGACAACAGCTGCGGGAAGTTCCACTCATTGCCTCATCAAAGACAAAGCCATTCTACTCAGCAAGCTTCGGGGCCCCGTCGTTGGCTCGGAAATCTCGTCCTCGGTGGGGACAGCCCGGTTAATCGAGAAACTTGGCAGAATTCAGGCCTTGGACACCCTGCCCAGCCTTCTCACTCACCTTGCGCTCAAAAACCTCAACCTCTGCAACTTCCTCTGGCCTGAGCGACCGAGTGACTGGGCGCTAGTCGTATGCGGCACGTAAAGGGCTCCAACACTTCAGGGCTCTTTGCCGCCTGTGTGACATGCAGCATGCCGATGCTTGAAATGCATAATGTGAAACCACGTTCGCAGTTGCCCCAGGCACGCTCGTTTCTCTCATTGAAGCATCCGCTGGTCCAAGCGATGTGCCTTGCCGCTTGGAAATGCCCGGTTGCTCCGGTGCAAGCTCCATCGTGCACTCCAACCGCCCAGCTGTTCTAACTTTTCTTTGTCTTCTTGGCTTTGGAAGACGTGGGTGCTGCCACTGACCCCAACAGCCGCACCAGCCCAACAAGGAGCGCCTGAGCTGCATGACGCTGCATTGCTTGCTCTTCACTTAGGACCAGTCTTGACGCTTCAGCCAAGCAACAAACACAAGTGCGAGCATAAGAAATCCGAGTATGAAAGAGCCACGACCAAGAGAGGCGGTCGCTGCTGCTGTAGAACCATCCTCGCAACGTTCAGGCTGTGGACGGCGATGCAAAACATGCTACCCAAAGAAGGCTATGCAGTGCCACAGGCACGACGTCCTGCGGGACACCGGTCTCTGTTTCAAGCTCCATCTGAGTCGCTCGGAGGGCTTCCTCCAGCGCCTGGTACTGCTCCTGCTTCTCTTTGGCGGATGCCACGGACAGGATATCCTTGGCGAGCTCCTCCTCGTACTCCTGAGGGGCAAGGAGCAGCGACACGCTTGGAAGTCTAGCGCGAGGGTCCTGGACGGCAAGCAAGTGCCCCTTCTGCACCATGTAGCTGGGAAGATGCTCTCCCTCTATTGTCCAAACATCGGCCACCAGAATGTTGCTGGCATCCTCTGTCCTTTCGTTCGTGCACGTGTCTAAACAGCAGTGCGCCACCACCCAGTGTCAAGCTTTTCTCGGAATGACTTCAAAGTTCAGAGCACGGGGTAACCTGTGCATGCGAATGGAATCAGACATAGCATGCTGCAAAGACGGCACATGAAACGTCTCGTCAGAATATGTAGGAGACGTGGAGACACATAAGCCTTTGGGAATTTGAAGACCGCCATGTCGCCACGTGAACCGTGAACCACCATGCGCACAAACACAAACAGCTGTTGAGCGCAAATGCAATACACCCACAAAGTCGTCCCTTGTCCAAGAACACAGTTTTTTGTTGTGACAGTCCACACAAATGCATGAGAAAGCATGTGTGTATGCATGCTGCTCGGGCCGCCCAGGAGCATGCTTTATGAGCATCATCGAGTGATTCTTTCCTCACCCGATTCGTCTGAGCCCACAATCTCAACAGCACAAGTGCTGCTCGGGCGACACAAAAGCATGCTGAGCCTCAACCGGGTGATGTTTGCCCATCCAACTCGTCTAGGTTCTGCACATGCTGCTCGAGCCAACCATGCCCGCACGAGCACTCATCAGGAGCATCATCGGAGATGGTTGGGGTGCATCATGAGTATGACCTGGGTGCTGACCGGGAGCATCATGAGCGTCGTTTATACGACAAATGCACGAGATCAGCAATTTGATCGCCACCTCGCACCGAAGAGGACGCATCATTCGCATCATGGGGGTTACGGCTTACGGTTTCCCTCATCCGATTCGTCAGCTAAAGATCCCAAGACTATGTGCGGCTATGTGCTGCTGGGGCCCACTCATCCCTTCCGATTCGTCTGGTCCTCTCCAGTGCGCGAGATCATACAACAGTTCGTGCTGCTGTGGCACATCTGAAAGCACGCATCATGAGCACCATCTGGGTGGCTGTTGGCTGGACCCTTCCAGCCATCCAACTCTTGTCTATGCAATAAAAATGGAGCCCAGCAGCGCGCATCATGAGCATCATCTGGGTGCTATGTTTCGGGTTCGGCCCGGGCACGCAGCATCAGCAGCATCCGGATGACTGTCGGAGCCCTTTCACCCACCAATCCGGGAAAAGTATGCCTTGCTTGGGCACACAGCAGCTCGCATCATGAGCATCATCCGCGCGATGCCTTTGACGTCCTATTCGTCTCGGCACTTCCAGCTGCAGGAAACATCTTTCCAATATTTCCCGATGCACAAGAGATCAGCATCCAGCAGCACGCATCATGAGCATCATCTGGCTGATGGTTTCTCCATCCTATTTGTCTGGTTCCAACTGCAATAAGGTTCCTACTTATGAGCAATGAGAGATCACAAAGCCCGTGCCCTGCAACCCACCCAGTGCGCATCATGAGCATCATCTGGGTAACGTTTTCGAGGCCCTTCCAACAAAAAATCCTGCAAACTCGATACAAATACTCGCTGCTCCACCCAGCAGCCCGCATCATGAGCATCATGCGGCTGAGGTTTTTCAGCAATTGCAACCAAAAAAAGCCTGTCAATGCAGCAAAAGAGTGGCTTAGTGCACCCCCCTACCGGGCTGTTTGCGCCATCTCTTCGTCTGGGCCCTCCATCCGCCACAAACTTATACAGCTGCATAGCTCTCAGTGAATCCAATACGGTCACGGTAGCCCCCCTTCAGGGATGAGGGACCGCACGCATCATGAGCATCATCCGTGTGCTGGTTTACCCATCCGAAGTTTCGGTCTATTTAGTAACGCGCATCCTGAATATCATCCAGGTAACCTCAGCACCCCATGCTCATAATTGCACTGCTCATAGCTTGACTCCAATCGTACATGCTGCTCGGGCCTGCCCCGCAACACGCTTTCTGAGCATTATCCGGGTGCTGTCTTTCCCATCTGATTCGTCCCGCCCCTCCACCTGGCACCTCGACAGCAATGCAATCCCACCTTCCCTTTTGTGTCGGAGTCTGCTGCAGCATTTCATCTAACGAGCCGCTTCACTCTTATTGAAGAAGCTTCGTGCACTCTGCATGCAGGAATCGAACGCACGCAGAGCACACCCGTACATAAAGAACCGTGCGGGTGCAATTCCCCGCCATGTTTCTCATGAGTTTCATGCTTCTTGCTTGGGCTTGACAGTTGTTTGCGTAGCTGCAAATAGCCATCAGAATTTGAAGGTTCCTCGGAACACTGCAAAACGCAGGGCTTCTGGCTAAAGCTGATGGTTTTTGAGG